GTTGTGCATGATATTTTAATTTTTTTATATTTTATTTATATTAAATTTTATGGGTGAATGTGTATCTGTATGACGCTCACAAGGCGCTCATGCTCTCAATTTTTTTTTAAATGTTTAAACTTTTGTGCTTCTACACTCGCCCCCGCTCCTACTCTCGCTCTATGTGATCTAGTGCCTAAATCTTCGCTTAAAAACATAGTAAGACCAATGAAACATTAGGAGTGCCAAAAATGCCTCACTATCCTCCACTCATCATCCTCCTCTTCTCCACCAACTATATTCTACACATGGGTCTATCAGTTCTAGCTACGAATCTGATATAAAATTAACGAGTTCAGCTTCAAAATTAATAGTTTTGGATGGACTCACCAAACCTTTCAAATGCCAACACCAAGTAAGCTAAATACTACATGAACCTGATTAAACACATTTACACAACTTATATACGATACATATCGACAAGACACATACTTAATTGTATACAACTATGAATAAAACCGGTATAAATCGAGTAAATTACACAACTTCCACAAGTTAGAAAGACAACTCACCCATTGAATATGTGCTTTGGTTATCATTATTCCGCTGGAACGGGAAGAACCATCATGTTTTAGCCTAGCTACTATTAAAAGATCTTAGTTGGTTTCCTAATTTTTTGGGCCTGCTAAGTTCTTTTAGCCTACCAAGATTGCATCAGTCAAGCCAAGTATACTATTGATATTTTGCGGTCACAAATGGATGTTGCAAAACCAATTTTATCCCAACTCTTAGGGACGTTTGGTTGGCCAGATTGGAGAATATCTAGCTGAGATTGGTAAAATGAATCTGGGGCCCACAAATTCCATTTTTGACATTATTTTTTTCCGACAAGTCAGGCCCATAATCTTCATTGCAAATAACCCCCATATACACAAGTTATTAAGCCAAAATGCGGGTGATATTCAAATGAGTGGATAGAAATTAAAATTATCAATGCATCTTTACATTAAATCAAATACTTCACTCGAAAAAAGGCAATATTGTCAAAAGTAACATTTGATTTGACATCGCATCGGAGGCCAACATATTTTTTCTATTCCTATCCCACTATTCTCAAACATACTATAGCGTAATTATATATCATCTATCTAATAAGGTACCTATATATTTGAATAAACCTACATCAATATCCCGCCCAATCCTTTCACACCTCCTTACCTCTCCTCACCGGTCTTCCGTTTTTTCCTTCTCTTTTTCTCTCATCTTTCTCTCTCCCTTTCTCTCTCTCTGTATCGCCAACTATTGCCATCGCTACCACTACACCGCCACAAACCACATCGACATAGTACCTCAGCCATAGTGCCTTAACGTATTTCTCTCTCTCTCTCTCTCACACACACACACACACGCACGACGAAACCCTCTCCCAATCTCTCTCCTTCTACGAACCCCCTAGCTCTTCCCTTTCTGTGAACTGCCTATCCCTTATGCGCAACCCACCTCTTCATTAGCGTTGATCCTCACCCTAACCCTGCCCCTCCCTTCCTTTCTGCTACACACGCATAAACACCCACATACTCTCTTGGATTTGTGAACATGGTTTGATTAGGTTTAATTTTCATTTTTTGAACTCAGTTTGATTAGATTCAATTTGAATTTGGTTTGATTAGATTCAATTTAATGCAAGTTTTTTAAATAGGTCTGATTTGATGCGAATTTTGAAATTATTTACAATAATTGGAATTGCTAATTGCATTCATTGAGAGGAGTAAAACTACTCCAAGAGTTTGTAGTAAATGTTTGGCCCACAACTAAATAAAACCAGTTTACATACTACAACCTTAATCAAGGAAAATTTCATTCAGAACCTTACCAAATTCTTGCACATGTTAATACAAATTAGTTGGGATATGAACATATTAGTCAATTTGTGGTTTTTTTTTCATTTTTATTCATCGGTAGTGCAAGACATATATTTGAAATCTTTCAAGATTCAATGACTATCACATGATATAATTAACACTGGGATATTTTTTCCACCATAACTACAAATCCCAATTGCGTTGAAATTATTTTATCTTTGTTATTGCATAAGAACTCACTCGACCATCTTGATTTGGTTGGACATGTTTTTGAGTTAAAGAGACATTTTTATAATAGAGATAGAACCAAAGAACATGTTTGGTTAAAAAAAATAGCAAATATTTTTACAATTGAATTCCAAAAAATGGGGGCTACCGCATATGCATGCATTTCTCTTTTGCCATGCAAACAAAGTTCAGACATGTGCCTTGGTTGACAAAGCATCTTGTGCTAAATTTTCAAATTATCACAGTGATCTAGCACTTACACTAAGAGATATCCTCAAGCCTTTGTAGAATCAACAAGTATGGACTAAAATGGACATCCTGGCTATCTTCACAACAATAATGGCCAAATACATATTGTGAGCGGGCAAGAGGTTAATAATAGGGATGTATCATATATTCAGTATCTTTCAAGAATGTTCAACTATCACATTAACATGAAATTTTTTTGCAGGATTGAGATTTATGAAATATATTCATAAGTATATTAAAATATCATGATCGCACAACTATGGTGCTGGGAGAAATAAATGAGATCCAACTATATCTTGGTGCAATGTATATTGGACCACTAGAAGTTGGTTGACGATTATTTAGTTATCCGTTGCATGAAGAGATTCCAACGTTTGTACAGTTGACATTTCGCTTACCAGGGATACATCGTGGTGTTTTTAAGGCTACAAAATCATCTATGACAATTCTTTCTAAAGTTGGATAAGAGTATATAACTTCCACTAATTTTTTTATGTGTTGCATTTCAAATGAATCTTGATTCGCATTAACCTATCAAGAATTTCTTCAAAAATTTGTTTGGAACAAGACAATGAAGATATAGACTCCAAGACAAATGGTGTATATAATTGATAGAATGTACTTTGTTAGCCCTAAATCAAATGAACAATTTTACCTACAATTTCTACTAATTGTTGTTAAAGGACCAATATCATTCAATTTCTTATGAACGGTCAACAATATTATGAACGACATATTCAAATCAACATGTGTTGCAATCAGACTTCGAGAAGATGATTAAGAATGGATACAATGTCTTCAAGAGACTTCAATTATGAATATGTGTTACCAATTGAGGTGATTGTTTAGCATAATTCTCATAGAATGTTCTCTATTGCATCCATTTGTGTTATTGAATCAATTCTCAATGTAGGTATGTGATGACCTTGCACATATGATTTGCACAATGTTTGACATGATCAGTCCAACTCGGGATAAAGATAAAAGATTATGGTTTATATCTAATGAATTAACTACTCCATGAGTTAAGCAAGAGTTTAATTTATTTTTCTTGTATGCCACAACCAATTGGGAACTGAAATGTAATTGTTGATAACAAACTACTGTTTGAACATCAACAATTCTAGAATGAATGGCAACAAACAATTACAGAAATTGATATTGATTGCCTTAATTATGCACAACATGGTGCTTCTATAACAATCACTTCGTCAGTATTTGAAAATAAAGGAACTGCATTTTTCTTGAGTGGGGGTGCCGGAACAGGAAAGATGTTTATGTACAATAAAATTGCTACTAAATTGCGCAGTCTTGGACATATTGTTATCGTGGTTTCATCAGGTATTACATCATTGTTTTTGGTTGAAGGTCGCACCATACATTCAATATTTTGTAATCCTTTAGATGTGTGCATGAGAATTCGGTTTAAGGGTTTATGAAGTAATCAATGAACACAGAGTTATTTAGAGAAACAAAACTTGTAAAATGAAATGAAGTTCCTATGTAGCATAAATATTATGTTGAGGCGAATATTGCACTATTCAATGTATTTGTAACAACAAAAAGTCATTTGGGGGTATCACTATTGCTCTTTGTAAAGAATTTCGTAATTTTTTTAGTTATAGCAAAGGGATTTTGTGAGCAATTATTGGGTACTTAATTGAGACGATCTATGCTATGAAGGGATATACATGTGTTGACCTTGGATTTAGACATGTGCTTAAATAGCACAGATGTTAGAAATGACAATTTCTAAAACTTCTTTATGGAGTTAACGTTTCATTGATCTTCAATTTCATGAAATATTGCTTTTGATTATCCAATGTTATCAGAATCAGACCGGTCATCGAACTGTCTTGAGGATTGAGTCAATGGTTCACTGGTTCAACCTGTGGGTCACTGGTCGGACCGATCATATAATAAAAAAAATAAAAAAAAATATATAATAATTATAAAACATAATAATTTAGCTAAAACATATAAAATATGTCTAAAATACATACAATTTGTCATCCAATCCAAGTACATGACATAAAAATCATTCCAAGTCCAAAAGATGACATTTTGCAAGAGCAAACAAACTGAAAACATAAAATCAATAATGACAACAAAAATCCCAATGCAAAATCCTACAATCTCAATTCACAATCTTAATAGATCACAAATAGACAATAACTATTCCCTTGTGAATCTCTATTTAACAGACATGATAGCTTTATAATTCTCAATTCACAAGCATGATAGCTTTACAATTCTTTTAAAAAGATCCTTTAATTAAATTACCTACCAGTGCTTTCATAGCATTGAAAAGCTACATCCAAAAAGTGACCTACTGGTTTGCTAAATCACAAACAGAAACAACATAATCACAAACAAAGATCATTAATATGGATTATGGACTATTAGCATATCAATAACACAATTAGTAATTCGAAATCAAATTTCTATTAGAACAATAATTAACAAACAACCTTAATAAAAAACATGAACTATTTCTTCAAAATCCAAATAATCAAACCACTCTATAAATACACAATGACTTTAAAAGAAAATCACATAACCCATAAAAAAACTCAATATCAAATTTAAAATCTTAGCGAGGGAGATCCTTTGAGATATAATTCCTGTTTTAAAAAAATCAAGCTATCATCATATTTTTGTAGTAACTAAGGTGTGATCTCAATGATTCTCGTGCAGGACATGTTTATTGGGGGGACTAAGACTTCGTCAACAACTATAAAATGGGCGATGTCAAAAATGATGAGAAACCCAAGAGCAATGGAGAAGGCACAAGCTGAGGTGAGGAAGAAATAGATATTCAGGAATTAAATTATTTGAAATTGGTAATAAAAGAAACTCTGAGATTCCAGATTAAACCTAAATCAAGAAAATCTTGCCTGAGTTCGCTGGTTCGTTGGTCGGTGATCGCAGTGGCTGATCGATCGCAGTTGCCTGAGTTCGCCAGAGTAGCCTGGTCGTTGAACGGTGATTGTAGTCGCCTGGTCGCTGGAGCCTTGGTGGTCAGGTGGTGCCTTCTTCTGGACTGGAGTTATGCGATTTAGGGAAATAAGCTTGAGATTTTAAGTTTATGTAATTTGTTTTTTATGTTGGCATTGAACTGTCCAATTTTTATAAAACCTGCTGGTTCACGATTTTTTACAAGAACCGGCCGGTTTTCCGGTTCTCTTCCTTAAGCGGTCCAACTACATAATCGGACCGGCTGAGGTCCTGGTTCACGGTAGAACCAATCCGGTCCGGTGATAACACTATGATTATCATTTAATCTTATTCATTAACTTTATATTTTATTTTTAGATTGACACATATCCAAACAAAATAGCAGAACTTCCACCAACAATACACAGATGTTAAGATATGAAAGAATTGATATTTAGAATTTTTTCACAATTATACGTGCTTGGTACAATAATCCCAAATTATCTAACTAAGTGCATGATTCTTTTTGCCTACAATGAAGACGCCAGTGTTATAAATGCAAGCAACATTGAAGATTTTCCCTAGAGAGACCATAACATATTTAGCTATCGACAAGATATCCGAAGGTGATGAACTTAATCGAAAGCATCACAAACTGATACCCTAACGAGTATTTGAATTCTCACAATCTATTACAGTTACCGTCCTTTAAATTAGAGTTGAAGGTGGGTTGTCCAATCATATTGTTAAGGAACATTACACTAACAGATGAGCTTTGTAATGACACATGATTGATGTTTGTCAGATATGCTTCATGTTTAGTTGAAGCTTAATTAGGTATTAAATAGAGATAAATTTGACAATTTGGTCTTCATCCTAAAAATATCTTTTGCACCCTCATTTTTAGAATTGCCCTTTCAAATGACTAGATATCAATTTTTTGTTTGATTAACATATGCTATGATAATTAAGAAATCTTAAAGACAATCTGTAAAATTTTGATAGGGTAGATTTGTGAACACTGGTGTTTAGTCATCAGTACTTATATGTGACGCTATCCAAGCACTATAATAAATTTATTTTTTAGCAACGAATTGACTCGTCGCAAAATGTATAAATTTGTTGCCAAAAATTTTCGGCGATGAACTCATTTTGTCTCTTTAGGCTCGTCTGGGAAAGTTTTTAGCAACAACAAAAACTTCGTTGCCAAAAATACACAATAGGCGACCATAATTTTGTCGCCAATGTTTTGTTCGTCGCCAAAAAATAAATTATTTTAATCACATAAAATCTTTAGCAACAATTATATTCATCACAAAATGTAAAAACTTCAGCGATCGTCACTATTTCGTTGCTAAAAATAAGTACACAAAATATTGGCGACAACTATATTTGTTGCCCAAAAAGACAACCAGTATTTTAGTAAGGACTTTGTTTCGTCTCCAAAAATGAAGAACAATGTTTTAGCGACGACTTGTTTACTCACCCAAAAAATGAACATGATTAATCCCATTTGGCTCTATAACAATTTAAAAACACTTATAATAATTCAAAAACATTCTGACCAATTTTAATCATGCACCCATGACAATAGATAATCCATAAAAACACATCACAATTACTAAAACATTCATACATTACTCAATATATAAAATGACATCAAACAATTTTCAATAGCATCAAACAATCCAAAACTCCTAACAATATCCAAAATTTTCAACATCCAATATCCCAAGATCTAAAATTTCAACAACAAAATATCTCAAATATTTGAAAGAAAAGATGTCTGAGTATCTAAAAAGAGTTCGTTACAATCTATCGTCAATATGTGACAAACACAAAAAACTCGTTAACGCATTATAGATAAGAAGTAACATAAAAAATATATAAATTTTGAGTTTATAGGGTAATAAATTAATATTTAACTAAGTATATGATTATGAAGAGCACAATTTAAACTATAATACATAAAATAAATTGTTGATACCAGTACCAAGTTTAATGTTGTTCAATCTAGAAAATTTGGGTTCCAAGTGTCTTTGATGTTAATGAATTCTTGTAAATTAACAAAAACCCAACTGATCAGAGAGGTTTTTAAATCCTCCCACCCTTATTTTCTTCTCTCTTTGTTGTTTCTTGTACTGTTGTTAAGATTTTGTTTCCAATTCCTACGGTTTACTATAAGAACAAAGAACCACCCCTTTGTTATTTTCTCTTGATTAAATATCATTCTCTAAATTAGTGAAAATGGACGAAGAAGTATTCAATTTCAGCCTCGCATCATTTGAATTTTTTGTAGTTGATATAAAATTATCCATATTGAAATCATTTGACACCAAATGGATAAGCAAAACAATAAACTAGAATAAAATCGTGGAATGCACAGCTCATCTGGCTACCTGCAAAAAATTTCATTTTTATGCTTAAGGAGGAGCTGATTCTTGTAGTTATCAAAGTTGCAATTATTGCACTTGAGTTTCTTTCTAGTTGGGCGATATAGTAATTTGTGTCTAATGTTGTTACACACTTCGGGGTGAGCTATATAGTAACGATCATCTAATCTAGATGCTTTTTGTGAAATACTGATATCAAGTAATGAGTTGCTTTATGACTTTAGCGTGCAGTTCTCTAATTATATGGTTTTATGTGTTTTCTGCGTCATACCAGCAATCAATTTAATAACTCAGATTTTCTTTGAAGAAAAATATGCATATAGATAAAAACTTGGATTTGTAAGTACTTGAATGTTTATATAACAGTAACTCTAGAGTCCAGCCAATTAACTCACCTCAATTCCTCGTCCAAATAAGTAATATCCAACTCACCTCGAGCCCTTTCAGGAGCTTTAACAGGTATCTCTAAAAAAAAATAACAGAGCCATTATGTTATGACGGATTAGATTCAATATTGTCATCTGCATATTCATCGAATGAATTTTAATATGTATTTTGTGCTATCACCACAAGGAGCCCTTGTTTTCTTTTCCTTTTCAAAATCATATGAATTGTTTAGGATCTAACAAAATACTACAAATGTATATGTATAACCCACATAAAAATACTTAGAACATCAAAACCACTCACCAGATCAAAAAATTTGAAAAAATCAAATTTTACAGCCACCTTTCTTGCATTCAGAGGTGTTAAATCTGCTGTCACCTACAGAAAATTGAAGTGAAAAGGACAGTAATTCATAAGAAAACATCAGGTTTGAAGACTTATACATCCTATAAAACAAAAGGTGCTTATGGATGGATAAACTAACGCCCATTACCTACTTAACAATTTTGGGGAGCTAGAAACTTATGATTAGCTTTTTCACAGCCAGCCAATATCCCATCCTCGGTCATTGATAATCCCCTTGCTAATACATTAGGCACTCTATCCTAATATATTACACTTCCCCTTGCTCTCAAAAGTATCTACTATCCAATTCTCATATGGAGTATACACTATTTGTTAGTATCTTATTAATCAAGGCCTTCAAATAGATCACTAAGAGATTACAGGAAAGTGTAACAGAGGAAAAGATATCGCTGCGTGTGTCAGGAATTCATGTATTGAGATATTTGTTCGTTTATGGTTCCACGGCTCTTCGGCTAGAATGAATGTATGTCTGTATGTATGCACTGTGTTTGGGTGGTGCTATTTGTAGGCAATGCCTTATATAGAAATACAATTGCTTAGGCGGTGATGGAATTGAGAAGGGAATGAGTAGATTAAAATTATGTTTTCTGCCATCAAAGCAAGGCAGGCAAGCCATTTATTCGGTGCCAGACAACACTCATGGCTATCCAATAGCGCAAATTTTCAGTTAGGTTCTGTTGTAGGAGAATGACATCTCATTACCAAAAATGCCAAACTCCACAGCCATGCACCTAAGATTGAATTGCATTTTTCACACAAAAAAAAAAATTAGAAAGAAAAATAATACAATAGATCAATCATAGACATAGACTAGGCAGATAGTTTCAGCATATGAAATTCTAAAAGCATAGCAATTCACAACCGGACACCACCAGCCAAGTCGCGAATATCCGATTCAAAAATAAGACACCACTAGCAGGCCTTAAAATTGTTCACTGCTGTGTGTGTGTTTTAAGATTTATGTCTTGAAACACAGCGATATAAACACACAATGATACACAGAGAGAGAGAGAGACTCACAAGTTCAGCACAACAGAGAGGGAGCATAGAGGCGACAAGGTGGGGCTAGTCGATACCTTTGTGGAAGAAGAAGATAGGGGGCTAATTTAGGGTTCCAAAATGATGTCGTTTTGAAACCAAGGGTTATTATCTTTTTTCTTCAAAACGACATCGTTTTAATTCTTTATAGTGTACATTTCATTTATCATATTCTATGACCAAATATCATTTGTCGCCAAACAATTGACCAATCATCTTACCTCTCAGGTGCCAAACATAGTTTACGAAATTAAAATTGTTAGTTAGGTCACACTTTGCAACCAAATTAACTTGGTAACACTCTTTATTCAATGATCTTTGAATTATTCTCTCTCCACTATTCAGTTGGCATGAAAATTCTACGATGTTGGACCAAAATGCTTATCGTTCCACCAAAAATTTTAGTTAGTGAATTTGCAACTTCTTTCTTTTAATTAGTTCAATAATAAACGTCCACAGGTTGGGTTGGTTAAACCCTTCCACTAAGTTTCAGAGAGACTTGACATATCTCCATCAAAGCCAATAATATCCCTCCGAGCAACTACCTGAGACTCAAACTCTTGATCTTGCTCTGATATTAATTATTGGACTGAAGCGCTTAATATTGCACCAAAAGTTATAACTATTAATGAAGGTGAAACATCTTTCTTTTAACTAGCTCCACAACAAGCGCCCACAAATCATGCTAGTAAAACTGTTCCATCGAGTCTCAGGGAGACTTGCACCTCCATCCAGATCAACAAACTGCACTTTCTCTCAATCCTTTATTTTATTCTGGAAGTAAGGTGGTTGGAAATGACTTAGGCATTCGACACCTATGTTGAAAAGATCATGTTGTTAATGGAGTGAGATCTTTTCTCTTATTTTCCCTCATTTTTCTCTTAGATAGATAACCTATTGTAAAATTCAAGTGTTATATATAAATGGATCCCTCAGTAATA